TCAAAACTCCGGTGATCACATTGTTGCTGGTGAAGGCCTTGTCTATTTGGAATGCACAGATGGCATCACTCTTTTTTGAAGACCAAAGCGAAGCACGAGCCTTGTTGAATAAGCTTACCACCATCATACCATATTTTGGCATGTGCCTTGCACCTTCAAAGCTTAAAGTCATGCTTCAGAACGTGCAGTTTACGAACATACCCCTTACAATTCGGGGAGAATCACCGGAGATTGTGGAAAACTTTACATACCTCGGTAGTTGTATTGGCTCTGATGGAAATGTGCCTGATGAGGTTAATGCAGGAATCTCAGAGGCTCGAATCACGTTTGCTAGTTTGCGTCACTTGTGGCGTCAAAAAGGCATCTCACCAGATCTTAAGAGTCATGTGTGCCAGGCTACAGTAAAGGCTGTGTTGTTGTATGGGTGCGAGACGTGGCCTCTGCGGACATATGATGTGAAGCATCTTCAGGTTTTCGACCACCGATGCCTCAGAAGCGTGACTGGTTTCTGATGGCCTCAGCATGTCAGTAACGAGGCGATTAGAAAACGGGTATTTGGTTGTGCTGCAGGCACCTCAATCCGGGAAAACATCCGGCATCATCGACTACGATGGCTCAGTCATGTGCTACGCATGCCGAAACACCGTCTGCCGAGACGAGTGTTTTTCTCCGTGCCTCATTCAGGATGGCGCAAACCGCGAGGTGGACAGCGCATGATTCGGCAGAAAGACGTCAAAGAGATCACGAAGAGTTTGGGTGTTGTTGGTGTTGTGCGACTTCCAGGATGGGCCCCCCGTGACCCCGTCTGTACTTGGCTGGAGACGTTGCAAGAAATGGCGGCTAATCGATGTCAGTGGCGTTCGTGCTGTCAGTTTCTTTCCAGATTGTCCGATTGGGCAGTTAGAGGTGTAGGAACCTCAGTATGCTTGACATAGCCCAGTACTAGGTCCCCTCCCTCACCCACACTTTTTGTCTTTTTTTCACTCTAGGGCTTTTAATATAATTAGGGTTGCACTTACCTCATTTTGAAAGGCAAACAACACAAACAATACACCGACTATTCGCGACATCCTTCATTCCATTTTACCATGTCAAATTTTGCCCTTCTCGAAGAACTACCATAGTTCAACAGTATCTCTCTGAGGTAGCCTAGCATCTCTCCGCAGTAAACCAATATTGTGCTGGTGATGAGCACATGCACGAAGCATGGCAAAATATGAAAGGAATTTTGCCAGCGGCGTTCAGTGCTCTCTGTCCGACTTCTCCGACTCAACCGCAATACTACCGGCTGTCGTCGAGATCCCTAGTCTTGATTGATGCCAGGACCTCCATACCAGCAAGCAATAAGTACGACAATGCACGCTAATCCCTCAAACACCAGACAGTGAAGAGCCTAAAGAAAGACAGCTCTGGTGGACAACGAAATCTTGGGAGACGCAGAGGACTTTTGCAACCGGAAATATCCGTGTCCTATATCAGCTGGTACGACCTACTGGCCCTAGGAAAGCAGCGGTCAGTGAAACGGTAAGTGAAAAAGACAGCTCATTACTTCCCCAGCAAAACTTAGACTGGAACTATAGGCCGAACACTTCGACGAACAGTTTATTTGGCCTTTTGCAACACAGCCTATGGAGATAGTGAATATAGGCGAATGGAATGTAAACCTTAGTCGCATTTCGGAAGAACATATAAACTACGAAATACCGGTACTGAAAAGTGAGAAGGGACCTGGATCGTGTCCAGCTCTCTTCAAAGAAGACGGGGTATCCCTGGTGATCCATGTAGCAAAGCTTATTGGTGCAATATGGAACGAAGGTGCAACTGAAGGTGGCTGAAGAATGGGGCATGTCGACAGTTGTTCTCATCTCCAAAAGGAGTACGCGGATATCCATAGTGGCATAAGCCTGGCCACTGTGGCCTGGAAGGTGCTCTCTTACCCTTCGTAGTTGACTGAACATAGGGAGAGTCAGATCTGTGAAAACCGGACTGGGTTCCCTCCCGAAAGAAAATGCATCGATCATATCTTCATCCTCCAACGGATTCTGAAACGGCGACACTGCTTCAAGAAACCAACACTAGTTCTGCTTCTTTGGCTCTGTTCACCGTCAGGCACTATGGCAGTGTCTGTGGAGCAAAGGTGACCCCATAAATTGACCCTTCCTAAGACGTTATACGCCAACTCCCGCGGACATATGAAGGCCTACGGGAAGCTCTCTCCTGAGTTCACCACATCAAGTGGTTAGAGGCAGGGCTGCTCATTTTCAACTTTCCTCTTCAACTTCGCCATTCAAAAGCTCATGGGAGACTCACTATCAGCCTCTAATGCATGTGAGGTCGAAGTGCTTTTGGGGCGTCCGCTCACAGCTGTCTTTTACGCAGACGACTTAGCTCCTCTTGAATCTACACCGTGGTTATGCAAACAGTAACGAAAATTCTAAACAATTCTGCTTTGTGGTTTGGCCTGCACTTCACAACTGCAAAGTGTAAAATGCTACTGCAAGACTTGGTTAGTTCGAACCCTAGCCTCATGCTTGTAGGTGAATTGATTGAGGTGTTATACAATTTTTTTACCTGGGCAGCTGTATCACTCCCGGTGGTCTCGCGAAAGATGACATTTCTACCCAGATTGGGAAGGCCAGGGCAGCTTTTGTGAACCTGTGTCACTTGTGGCGTAGGTATGGCATCACCTTCTCTGTCAAGAGTTGAGTTTACAGTGTTGCGGTGCGCTCCATATTACTATATGGATCAGAAACCTGGCCGCTGCGCGTCGAGGACGTCAAAAGACTTTCAGTGTTTGACCATCGACGTCTTTGTAGGATTGCCCGAGTCTGGTGGGACCACCGGATCAGCAGTTCTGAAGTACGTCGAATGGTATTTGGGAGAAATAACTCACCCTCGATAAATGAACTGCTCACACTGCACAGGTTGCGCTGGTTTGGCCAAGTGCTGCGTATGCCAGTCGTATGAATTCCTCGAAGGGCTCTTTTCGTACAACCATGTGAAAAGGTGGAAGATAGCCAGAGGCGGTCAAACACTGACTTGGCAGCAAAGTATAAAAGCCATTACCAGCAAACTCACCTGTGCTGGTCATTGCCGTCTTCCTGGAAGGGGACCCCGAGACAGGCCATAGCAATGGTTAGAGACATTGTCAGACATTTCCCAGCGGCGCTCTCAGTGGTACTAGTGCATCTAAGGTTTTACATTCGATGCATAGCTCCCTCCCCAATCTCCTTAGTTAAAAATCCATTGGCAACCCTGTATTTACGCAGTAATTATGTTAGCTACCGCCTCCGATGAGCAGCTACGTACCCTACCTCCCTAATCATGGGTGAACGAAACTGTGGCGGATACAACCACTGTACAACAAGTACGCGGTTCTTACAGCTGATAATGATGATGGTTATGATGATGATGACACTGGTATTCGCATGGTGCCATCAACCTGTTGGGTCACCTTACTCGATGTATACAACAGGGCTTTTTGCGGCTACGAAGCGTCAGCGTTCAGTTGTCAGTTCAACCGTGGCACAGAACTTCCTTGTACCCCAATAGTGGAATTATGTATGGGGCAGTAGTCCACACATAATTTCAAGACAATGAGACCAATCCCTCAGGGATGTTAAAGTTACAAGGGAGCACGGCAACATACTCACATAATCCGAAAAGCATCTCTTAATCGACTGACATTCCACAAACACCGATTCACTTGTATTCACTGGAGTGGACACTGAACGGTGACGACTCACAAGCCTCTGTCACGGACGCGGACACCTTTATCTGAAGAAGTCAGGAGTTAAGTTGATCTCAGGAATAGTATTCGGCGTTCAAAAAACACAAACTCTTTCCGCCCCGAGAGGCATTTAGACTATCTGGAGGTACCTCTCGTAGTCAGTGCACACTTATGTCCTGATGAGGAAATTTCCAGAACATCTTTTATCTGACTGAAACTTCTTACCGCACCCACCACAGCAGTATTATTGGGACAATAACCCAATGTTTTCATCCAAGTGCGATTATAACAAGAGGGGAGAGCCTCATGTACACCAACCAACCAGGTCCATAGAGAATCGGTAGAAGGTGCAATTGGCAGTTGGTTTGCCTAGAACAATGCTGTTCGGTGAGACCTACCTTAGCAAGTGACTGTCCGGTAGATGGTTCACTGTCCGGCTTTTTTCATCATCCCAAGTTCATAAAAAATTATGTTTACCAGCTCCAACAGCATTTTACGAGGTCCAGGAAACCCACGCTGCTGGTATAGGCACACATTCCATCTCCTTGACCAGTTGAAACCCTCTATCGACGGTGATATCAGGGATAATAAAGTGTCCGTTGGTGACCGTCAATGCTGACACACTCATTCTGATAGCAACTGAGCACACTTGTGGCATCGAGTCGTAACCTATGTTCTCTTGCACGATCCCTAAATCTTCCTCCGAACTACCCTATGACGTACTTTATGAAGTTTCAACCATTCCAATATTCCGCTCAGTCATCCCCACAAAGTTGTATCCCATTGTTGATAAAATATACTGGCATCCTCCCTTCGAAATACTACACTGTTATTTCTGTTCCTTCTTTCCGATATTTAACTTTTAAGGCTCAAGGTACCATATTTATCCTCACATTCGGTTCGCTTTTTTGTTTGTCATTTGTACTTTTGCGTAGTAAAAGTAGATTGTGTAGGTAACAGCAAACATCTCATTGTCTTGCCCCAGTACTAATCCAACTGTTGGAGCTGGATACGTTTAACAAACGCCGGTGTCCATTAATCTTCATTATTCTTAGAAGGGTTGTTTTTGGCAGTCGCATAGATAGTACAGCACGGTAAACAGTCTCCTCTCTCCTACCTATGACAAGAGTGTGGTGATTGGAAGTAGTAAGTTATGTGTGTGTAAAAATAACCTCTAGGCGGTGTGAGAACGGAAGTGTTACGTATACTTTTAGTTTGCTACAGAAAACGTTCTGGTATACCTGATTCTGTCGTCTTCATTTTTTTTTAGCGAGAACTGTTCAATAGACCTGCAAATGGCTCATCCGGTCCTCGACATGAGGTTGGATGAGTCGATGCCAAGAGAGCTTATCTTGAGGCGACACGCCGACTTTCTTTCCGCTTATGAGAAAAATGACGACTGCACTTTGGACTACTTGAAATTATCCGGCGTCTTCTGGACACTGACGGCGCTGGATTTACTAGGTGAACTTCACAACATTGACCGTGAAGCGGTGCTGAATTTAGTTGTATCTTGTCAACAGGCAGACGGTGGTCTATCACCCGCACCTCGACACGACTCCCACTTATTATCCACTCTCAGTGGCATCCAGATATTAGCCTTATTTGGTCGTATGGACATGCTAAACGTTGACGGCGCCACGCGTTTCATTCTCAGCCTTCAGGTAAGTTTTTGCCGGGTTTTTGTCGAGTTCATTACTGTCCGCTATTGTGGTATGTTACATGAATTGGACTGTAGAACCGATCTCTCACCAAAGAAGTAATTTTTCGTCTAGCACTGGGTGTCATTAAGGGAGCTTAAGAGCTAAGGCTTTGGTAGTCTGGTCAACTTCTGTTCTAATAAGTGGAACCACTTTTATGTGATCACCATATATAATTGCACCAAATGGCCAAATAACATTTTCAGCACTGCCTGCTGGTAAACCTGTCGTTTGTTTGTCTACACTGTAGTCCGTTCGAGGTGTCATACTGTTTTGCCATCAGAAAACTACCTACCTCCTCACTGGTTCTCTCCCCAGACTAATTCATTTGGTTGACTGTCGGTCACTTAATAGCATCATGGTTCTAGGTACACCATTCTCTTCGAGAAACACCGAGGGATGCCAAATTATCTCTTAGATGGGAGTTTTCTACTCGGTGGGGTGCAATCAACTTTTTTCTCTATCTGAGGCAGAATATAAAATATAATTGCCTTTACTCGACCATACACAGAAATCTGTCAGTGACTTACTAATTTACTCGTGGTAAACTTGTGGAATAGTGCCATTCCCCGTTGAACAGATCACTACTAACAAAAACGGTTGTCACCCAGCCTAGTCTGAATTATAACCGCAAAACAAGATAAATTATTAACACACGGTGTAGAGTGCCATCAAAAACAACGATTTTTGGGGGACTCCATCAATATAGATTTGTCATGCATTATCTTATCTTTCGTCTCAGCCTCATCACTCTCCATCCGTAAGGGGGCTGTGGCATTTTCCTACGGATTTCGTTTTCAGGGTATCAACCAGTCGGTATCTGTTTCAAGAATAACTTGTTGATATGGTCCGACATTGTATCCACAGTGTTCACGAGATCGACTGGCGCGACGGTTGGCTGGTAAATCTGAGACGGTGGCGTAAGGACTTTCGACTATTTCCTCCTGGGAAGTCAGACAATATCTCCCTTGGTTCTCGATGATGGATTTGAGTTGGGTAAACTCCATGCTACCACAGTGGTTCACCAGACAGGGTTGTTGCTCGTAAGAAAACGTGCTTTATCGCGATGAATCAACCTTCAGTGGACTTCAATAAGTCCACTGAAGGTTGATTATTCCTGAGGAGTTGTGATTCTAACAGACGCCTGTGGGCACTGTTGTGAAATATAGATAGCTTGGGTGCCCTGCTTGGTCGTTGGGAGCCCGGTTGTTGGAGTGCAGACGTTTCGTCACCAATCGATATGACATCGTCAGTGCGAGTTTGAGTCACTGATGAAGTCACCTCGACTGATGACGAAACTTCTGCAATCCAGTTGCGATGCTTGGCGAACAGGTCAACTCCTCAGCAGACGTCACTAGGCCTCCATATCAAGAGCGGGCTTTCCAACCAACAACTCGATGGTTCCTCTCTCGCAGCAGGCCTTTTTCACACTTCTAGCTGGTGGTAAGATCTCCCTTCATTTTGTGTAACTCAGTGACCTTAATTTCACCTCATTGGCACATATCGCTAGAATGATTATGGCCACCAAAATGTTTTCAGATTAATTTTGACTCTTTCTTAGCTGACCTCAGCAATAGAAACGAATTTATCCATTGTTAGCAGGCTTCGTTCAGGGAGTTTACGCTTAGATGGTATTACCCACTGATATGAAATGGGAGGCGAACCGGTTTGCGGTGATTTATTGTTCCACGACCCATCAGGCGCATGTGATATAATCTTCAACAAACCCTCTGTTATGTTCTCTACTAATCAGTCAATCCAATGAAAGGATATAGAGAGAGAAATGTGAGCAATATGTTCGTAGGAGGAGTGCCTCCTAACGCCTCCCCTTTGAAGTCATTGCTCGTACCGTACAAGTTGTGGGTTCAGTTGCGTTCGTATTACAGGCTTTCTGATCCAGTCGGTCCATCTTCTGGGTGTACAACTTTTGGAAATTTCTGGTTCATTCATCGGCTCTGGAGATTTTGGCTTTTGAGCTAACCCAAATGTGTCGAGAAGAATCTCCAGTGGAAGAACAGGGTCGAGTGTAGGTGC